TTTTTGATTCTTTTGAAAATCGGCTACGTACAAGACTAGAAAAAAAGGTACTTAACTCGAAAATTCAATCACCATTTAAATCGAATGAGCCGTTTCTAAAACACAGCGCCCGCGAATTTTGAAAACATCGTTTAGAGATAATCGCGCAGCAGTTGGAACAACTAAGACACGCCGTTTCGCCGGTAACGGGCGGGTACTCCGAGCGCTCACCTGAGCGCGCTTGGAGCGTCTGGACACGAGTCCACTAATCGACCTATAAATTTGGAACGATGTCACTTGTGGACTTGCGGTCAAGTCTATGTCAAAGTAGACATTCCAAAGTATTTTTTAAGCCAAAAAAAAAGATTTTTTGAAATTTCCAGAGTGGACTACCCCCTTAAAAGACATATCAAATCACATGATAAGTTCATTGGTGTTCCTATTGAGTATTTCCATGTTTCATGTAAAGGATGATACGGTCAAAATTTGGTCAAGGGTAAACGCGTGGAAATCGGTGAAATCGTTTATTTAAAAAATCAAATTAAATTTCTTTTTCAAGTTCAATTAGTATTAAATTCAGGAAAAATATTCAGTTAGGCTTCCGCTTTTCCAAATCCGAATTGCCGGGCCTTACGCTTGACCCCTGCCATCAGATTTTGTACAGCCACCTTGTCCACCTTCTTCGCCGCAGAAAGCCAGTTTGCCTTGAACTGCTGCTCGCCCTTAGCAGTTTTTTTGGTCTTCTTTAGGTTCCGCTTGACAATAGCCCAGTATTTCTCAATTGGGCGGAGCTCTGGCGTGTTGGGAGGGTTCTTGTCCTTGGGAACCACCTGCACGTTGTTGGCGGCGTACCACTCCATGGCCTTTTACCATAATGGCAAGATGCCAAATCCGGCCAAAACAGTACGGAACAACCGTGTTTCTTCAGGAAAGGCAGCAGACGTTTATTCAAACACTCTTTCACGTAAATTTCTTGGTTGACAGTCCCGGAAGCTATGAAAATGCTGCTTTTCAAGCCACAGGTACAGATGGCTTGCCAAACCAGATATTTCTTTGCAAACTTTGACAGTTTCATGTGCTTGAAAACATCTGGTACCTTTCCCCTTCCTTTTGCCGTATAAAACTCCTGTCCCGGAAACTGCTTGTAGTCGGCTTTGACGTAGGTTTCGTCGTCCATTACCACGCAGTCAAACTTCGTCAGCATCGTCGTGTACAGCCTCCGGGATCGCGCTTTGGCCGTCGTATTTTGTTTATCATCGCGATTTGGAGTCACTACCTTCTTGTAAGTCGATAGTCCGGCTCGTTTTTTGGCTCGATGCACGGTTGTAGACGATACACCCAGCTTATTTGCGGCATCTCGGAGAGAGAGGTTAGGGTTTCGCTTGAAACTACCGGCAACTCTCTTTGTCGTCTCAGCGGCTTCCGGTTTTCGATTTCCCCCCGATCCAGACTTCCTGGCTGTCGACAAACGTTCCCCAAACACTTTAATTACATTTGTAACGGTTGATTTGGCAACTTTTAGCGATTTTGCCAACTTTGCGTGCGAGTAGCTCGGATTTTCGCGATGCGCGAGCAAAATTTTGATACGCTGCTCTTCTTGCTTGGACGGCATTTTGACAACTGAAGAGTGAATTCCTAAATCAAAATAGGAGCAACATTCTACACACACACACCTTCAAAATGAGGGGTGTTCAGGTTTTTTAAATGCAAAATTGAAAGAAATACGTCAAGTTGATATTGACCAAATTTTGACCGTATCACCCTTTACTTCTATTACAAACGTTTGTACATATTCCGGATCCTCCGAAGAGGGTGGTAGATTGTCTGACTTGGGTCAAAACCCGTCAAAAGACTACTTTCTCTAGAGTACCATAATATTTTTTTGTGTAACCAACACTCAATTTGATCACCAATGGTTCTGATACTGAATGCTTATACAGGGTGTCGACTCAACGAAGAAAACAAAATTCCCTGATATTCCCTGATTATCCAGCAATTTTCAAAAAAAAATCCAGTTGCACTGCCTACCTGGTTTTGGAAACACAACCTCATCAACTATAACTTTCCTTAGAGTATATTAGTGCTTTATGGACACTTTCATGAAATATCACACGGACCTCTGAAGAGTGGTCCAGTACAATTTCAAATTAAATAAAGCGTTCCATACATTTTATAGAATTCAAAAAAGGCATAAATCTCGTGTTGTCAAAAACGGGAAGGATCCGAATTCTACCCTAGGGGCATAAATTCATCCAAATCTCCTTCATCTTCATGGTGACCAGCAAATCTCGATTAGAAATTGTCCCGTTTTTCTCCCGGAATTTTGGATATTATCGCGGCTTAGGTATTTAATTAAGCACAAAACAATGCGATTAAGCCGAAGGTTTTTTTTTTTTTTTTTCCTTTGGTTTGTTTTTTCCGTCGATCTTGTTTTCCGTGCTGAGCACCAATGCTACCGACGTGCCAGGAAGGCAGCTCCAACACCTGGACCCTACCTATCGATCCATCAACTCATGAACCGGGGACCAACGGCTTTACTTCCCATCCGAAGGAAGGCGTGATCAGAGATGTTATGCCTCAGAACATCCAGGCGGCGCCGACTGGGATTGAACCCAGGCCTTCTGGGGTGAGAGGTAATCACGCTTACCACTACACCACCGGCGCCGTTAAGCCGAAGGTTAAATGGCTTATTTCTAAGAAAGCTGGATCTTGAATTAAGGATCTGCGACAGGTTCGAAGTCTTCACAATTTGTATATATTTCGCTCAATACTTTTATTTGATTGTTCTCAAACCTTTTCTTTAGATTAATTTTCTTTCACAGAGATCTTTCCAAAATTCTTCTTAAATAAATTTGAAATTCTATATGTAAATCCCTTTATTTTTTTATAATCGCACAAACATTCTCTGTACAACACTCTACAAAATTCTTAAAATTCATCCTTTCTTGGAATTTTGAACTTTTTCTAAGAGTTCACTTGAGTTTATTTTTTTTTTATTTGCATGAAATTCTCCATAGAATTCACCTCAGACCAACAATTGAAAAGGACCTATTAGCTTTTGTGAGCAAAACTTGCAATCCCTCTTCCCTGTGAACACCATCTGGCAGGGGAAATTCTCCCGCCTAGAATTGTCATTTAATTTTGCTCAGAATTTATACAGAAATTATACTCGGACTTATTAGATCTTTGCCTAATTATTTTGGAAATGTAACCTCAAAATTCACGTTCCTTGGTATTTTTCAAGAATCCTGAAATCTTGTTCACTCTTGGGAGATCTAGTAAAAACTCTCCTGGAGGTTTTCTTAAAGATTCCTAAAAAATATTCTCTGAAATACCTGGTGTTATCTCAAGAATTCATTCTAAAATCTGCTCAAATTTGTTTTAAAAAAACAATTCTAAAATTTTCTTAATAATTCTTCAAAGTGACTGTAGTTATCCCAAACATCTAGACCAGTTCAAGGGTTTTTAAATCTTATTGTTTTCGGAGAGAGTACGAGGTATATTTTTCCAGATTTGTCAACTAAATTCATTGGATTTTCCCGTCGACTTCAAATTCCTGCTTTTTCCGGTTTTCCCGGTTCACTGGTCACTCTGCATTTCACATATGAAACACTTGTTTTTAATCCCATTATATTTGTTTTGCCTTGAGCAAATTATGAGACCCAGCTCCGTAAGAAAATTATTGCGGATAATATGCTAAACCAAAAGCTAATTCGCGGGCGGATTCCTCCGATGGGAAATAGTCAAAACAATGCTTTAATCTCCAAAATTATGTAAGGTTACGTAATCTAAATTGCAATAGCAGCAATATTACCATACGAAAATTTTACTGTGAAGCTTATTTTACAAGCTAACCAGGTTTACGTATCTACGTATCTTTGAATCATAAAAGTGCTACTCCAAGCAATAAAAAAAAAACTCCCAAGCAAGACCATTATCCTAAATTGTTATTTAGTTAGTTCTCTGATCTAATCAAGCTGTTAAGAACACAATAAGGAAAAAGAACTAAAAGTATTCAGAAAAAAATCATTATCTTCTCTTAAAGCTGGGTTTAGATATCAATTGATCAACTTATTGAATTCAACTGGCTTGAACGTGTAAACTATGTCATTTAACTGTCTTCTTGAATTGAAAAAAGTAGAACCAGGCTCAACTTTTCAAGCCAATTGAATTCAACTGAGTTGATCAATGACTTGTCTTGTCTAGACCCAGCTTACCTCTTAACCATTCTTGCATTTACGCAAAAGCGCACCAATGCGCTCAAGGGATTGATTTTTGTTGGACAAAGCTGGATCGAGCAGACGCAGAATCTACTTGAAGATTAAATTTTGTCAGACGCAATTAGGTATAACGTCTATTAAGAGACCCACATTTTCATAAGCAGCTTAATTTTGCAACAACTTACTACGTCTCAACGGAAATGGAACCGAATTTTTATCTCGGTTCAACTCAGGAATGTGACATCACGCAGTGGGAGCTGAATTTATAATAGGCTCAAAATCATCAAAATACCCTTTATTTGAGTAACTTTTGGTCCACTTGCGAAACTGCAATATCAAGCATTGAACAACCACAACTTTGCAACTCTATTTAAATAGAAACTCACAACTTGAAATAGAAAATCAGCCTCAAACTACAACGAGTAATTAAGATGTTTGAAACTAGCGAAGTCAGCCATACTTATTCATTTGTTTTTGTTATAAAGAAATATTTCCCTGACTTTGAATGAAATTCCCTGACAATCCCTGATTTTCCAGGTTCAAAAAGGAATTCCCTGATATTCACTGATTTTCCAAGTTTTTCCAGGTAGTTGACAACCTGTTATACGTTTTAAAGTGTCGCATACTGAGATTTGGCCAAAGTCAGATACTCCAAACGTCTGCGATCCATATATGAATCAGTTTTTTTTTCTTTGACAGCGTAATTTATAGCCATTAGCATAGTTCATCACGGAAAAGAGACTACTGTAAATCAACTGAAATCACACCTTTATGAATAGTAACAGCAATGGGTTAGCTTACCTGCAGCAGTCCCAACTCGTACGGCTTACACGTACTGGTGTCCTTGTCCCAACCGCAGTACGGATCCTTGACGCAACGGTAGCAGCTGTCGTACCTCCGGTTGCACATGGCCAGATCAATCTGCTTGACTCGATAATCCGTAGCCACGTACAGTGACTTCCGCGTCTGGCTGATCTCCATCACCTGGATGGCTTCATTCTGGGCGATTTCGAAGATATCCAGCAACTTGGACTTGGACTCCCCGTTGAACAGGTAGTGGACGATCTTGTAGATACGACCGGCGTTGGTCCCGATGTAATAAACCGTGTACTCCTGATTGAGGATGTCAATTTTGATCCTGCGGAAATTAGAATAAACAGCTCGTTTGTAATTGGATTCACATGCAAAGCAACGTTCTAGCTTAATTAATATTTATTTCAGGTCAGTGGGTTCCAACAATCAACCATTGACGTGTGTTTTTTTCCACGAGCAAACAATTCCTTTAACTAATTGTAGAACCCACAATTAATCCTGACAAAACCACGACCCAGCTGATTGCTGCTCACAATCCGGTGCAACCCAGGAACGGAATTTCGACCCAACCGTCCATCATCAATAAAAGCAACAGCATCATGTGTAGGTATGTATAGAGGTTCATTAATTTGCGGTCAACAACGGCGATAGTGCCAATGGCAATGCATGGCAAGTGGGTAATCCACTGCAATCAAATTAAAAACCTCAAAAGCACACATGACCTATCGAGGGCACCGCAACGAACAAGCGCCAGTGGAATGTTCGGTCTAATGAAGCGCCTAATTGTTTCGACCGACCGGTGAAATTTATCCAATTAGCGAATTTGTTGCGTACGTTCTCTAATTGTGTACCGAAAAGGTTGCTCCGGGTGTTGGTTGCGTTCAAGATTCGTTCGTTATTTGAAAAATAATTTGATATACTTACTTATCCACGACCAGCTTGGTGAAGACCAAATCCCGCTTGTAGAAGACCGGATTGTTGTGTTCGTGATTAACGGCCTTGTCCATCAGCGGGTGGGACCGGATGAAGTTTAGCACCGAGTCCGGCAGGGTCGAGGTATCGTTGACGCACGTGCCCGGCCGGGGATCCGGAATCTTCGAGTTCAACACCGGAAGCCAGGCGGAATTGGATGAAGCTTGCTCCTTGAATTTACCTACGCGATGTTAATCAACAACAGTCGAAAGCAGGGAAATAAATCACAATTTAGTTTTGGCTCCAGACGCGTCTACGGGGTTTAGGAGTACTGTTTTGGAGCACACCCCATGTAGGAATTGCTACGCTTCGCTACCAACCGACGACGATGGTATAAATCAAAGGCGATAAAATGTGAGAAAACGTCTACCGGACCAGTTAGTAGCGGAAATATTTCATTCTTTTCCCCATTCGCCCATGAGTGTGGCGGGGGGACAGGAAAGCGAATGTGGCTTCGTACGCAATTTAAATTAATTTACGATGTGGCTTGGCAATCATGTGTCAGCACAAGATGGAGACGCGTGGAAGCCAATCGCGTAAATATGAACAGTCCTTACCTGCAAAGGCTGCATGCACTTCCCCAATGTCGAAGCTGCAAACCGCCGAACCGACCAGCCCATTGGTGCTCGTAGTGAATGTCGCATAGAACTTGGTCTTATCCAATGGCAGCTGGTACACATCCTGAATCTCGTTGAAGTAGAACGGAAACTCGCCCGAGATGCTACAGTTGATGCGGGCCTTCAGATAGGTGGCCCAGTTCTGATTCAGGATGTTCTTGCCACCGGTGTCCTTCTTGCAAACGCGGGCTATCCTGGAATATACAGCCTTCCCACAGTTGATGTACTCGACGGCCGTCTCCCGGAAGAAGAAGTACACGTACTCGCCGATGTCGAACGCTCCAACAAAGTTCGGTTCTAAATGAGAGGAAGAGAGAGTGGTAAACAATGTCATGATTAAAATCCCGTTCTCCATGGATCATCATAGACTGGTGATTGATTCCTTCTGATAACTTTCCCCCTTTTTCCAGACAAAGAGTATCTATTGCTACCCTGCTAATTTGTACAGATTATTAAAATTTCAAACAAATCTCTTGTTTATTTTTACATGTTCGTCTGTGAAACGATCTGATTGAAAATCTTGCCTCAATCAGGTATACTAGACAAAGAGTTCTGCGGAATGCAAGGATAACCGATGGGAATAAAAAAAGAGAAGTCAAATCCACCGTTTTCTAGTCGGTTAGGAGGAGGACAGAGGGCTACTTTTAATCAATGTGCCATCAAACGTGCTTTCCAACAGACGTTTGCTAGATTTATCCTTCGGAGAAAGTATTTTGTTGCGGTTATTAATTCGCAATGACGGGGAGTAATCATTGTTATTTCTGCTGATGTGAATTGCTTCCTGTAGTCAGTGATAATTATAATTACTCCAGGATATGTGCTAGTCAGAAGGGAAAGCCACTATCCAGGCATCGGGCGACATTTTTACCCTTCTTACAGAGTGGGTATTGGACTGATGCAAATTTTGAAATTTTCACTTCACTGTACTCAATCGATTCCAAATCGGGTCTTGATTAACCTCCCAAAATTTAAACTCATTTGATAAGAAACTGACGTGGCGCAAATCATTTGAAGTTTATACGGAAATTACTATGATAAGGGGCTGTGTCAATTCACCATAGGACGTTTCGCCGAAGGACGTTTCGCCGAAGGACGTTTTCCCGAAGAACATTACACCGAAGAACATTTAGCCGAATGGGTCATTCCGCCGAATGGGTCATTCCGCCGAATGGGTCACTATTCGAAAGAACTGGTCTTTAAACATGAATCATTGCTTTAAATCAAAAATATTGATTATTCAGAAAACAACGTCATCAGTACAATTCGAAAGAACTGCTCACGTTTAAAAGAAGAAAACATTTCTGCAAATGTAAAACATTTTATTCAAAAATTTCCGAAATCACTACGAATTGAAAGAACTGATCATGTTTAAAGGAAGGAAGCATTCCTATAAATCAAAAATATCTATTATTTTTTTTTTTTTTTTTTTTTTGTAAAATTTTTATTGGTCTTAGAAGTATAAAATGAATTACTCACATAATTGATTCATGCTTCATTATCTAACGCAAATTCTAGTCCTGTTACATCGATTCTATCATTAATTGAGTTAACATAGAAGATGTAAGTTGCAAATAACTTCATTATTCTAATTCTAGTGTTTAATCCAATGTTTTGTAGACAAGGTTGGATAAGGTCATCAAAGGTAAGTCGACGCCAGCTATTCAAAATAGCGGATAGTTTCCTCTGTAGTAGTGTCCATGCTTCCGCTACACGTCTACACTCGCTGAATTTATGTTTGAGGGTTTCAATTGCAGCACCACAATGAGTACAGTCTTCGCCATTCGATCGACGGATTTGGTAGTACAGCTTCCTGTGTTCCACTTTCCGGTTAATGATCATATACAAATCACTCCGCGTACTGCTTGGTATTTTACGAGAAGAGATGCAACGCCATGCTCGCCTCCAGTTAAGATTTTGGTTCTCACGCTCCACTTTTGGTACTTCTGTTTGGTCAACATAAAACCTGTGAATGAGATCGGAGGACGGATTTTGTTGGATGATTGGGGAGAGCTGCCTGTATTGCTGGCAAAGCAATCTGAGGTCAGGAAGATCTGCAGGAATAGTTTGACGGTCGACGATTTGGTTGTAGAGGTAGGATTTGTAGTATGGCAACGAATTGATCTCATGAAGATGGCGATTAATCATGAGAGTCTTACATTTTAGAGCTGGGATTTGCAGCTTCAATCCGCCGTCTGCATGATCACGTGCTAGCTGTTGGATTGGAACTCGTGCTGGGACTCTACTCCACAGAAACGTCCCCATAGTCGCTGTGATTTTTGCCGTATGCACACTGTACGGTGAGAGTGTAGACGATAAATACCAGATTTTCGATGTTATGAATGCGTTCAAGAGAGTCACTTTCTGGTACAATGTGAGTGAGCGTAAGGAGTGCAGCCAAATTTGTCGACTGAATTTTCCCACCATCTCATCCCAATTCAAGGTGATCATTAAACGGATGGAATTAGCGAATATTATTCCCAGGACTTTCACAGTGTTGACTGATTGTAGCCATGGTATTGATATTGGGTTCCCTTCAACACAGCCAACGTCGATTGATTGAGTCTTTTGCCAATTTAGCTTTGCACCAGCAGCCCATTCGTATCGTGTGAAGAGAGTTCTCATTGCTTCAATTTTCTGCACAGACGTACAGACCACGGTGACGTCATCGGCGTAGGCAACAACGAGATCCTCTCCGCATATTTGTTCCAGCCTACTCAACAGAGGATGTAGATATAGCACGAACAGTAACATGCTCAAGGGGCAACCTTGGCGAACGGAGCACTGGATGGGGAAAGACGGCGATAGATGTCCATTTACGAGCAGTCGTGACGATGATAGAGCTGAGATTTGGGAGAGCAAATTCACCAATTCCCGATTTATTCCGAGCGAGCACATGGTTCGATACAAAAACGATTGCCGTACACGATCGAAGGCATGATCTAGATCAAAGGAAATTAATTTCCCCTTCTGTTTACGTTGGATCATTCTTGCCACTCTATCTTTCAGGGAGAGAGTGGCTTGAAAGATGTTACGACCCGGGTTTGCACATTTCTGTCCATCACTGAGAATCCGGTGGACTCTCACTACGTTTTCGAGCCTTGCTTTCAGGATGCGGGAGAGCATTTTGTAGTCATAGTTGAGCAGAGATATTGGCCTGTACGATCTAGATGTATCATCGGTTCCTTTCTTTTTAACCAGAACGACCACGCCGTCAACAAATTCAGGGGGGAATCGGCCCGATATCGCTTCGTTTAGGATGAGATTCAACTCACGATGGATGACGTCGAAGGTCCGAGAGTAAAATTCTTTCGGGATGCCATCCGCTCCCGGTGATTTTCGGGATGCGCTAGTTCTGATCGCTGTGAAGATTTCAGTTGTGGTTATCTCGCTCATACAAGCCGCATTTATCTCGTCGTTTTCCGGAATAACTCTCTCACACTCGAATGTACTTTCGGCAACCTCGGGTTCCTCTTCGGCTGTGTACAGCTGTTGGAAATATTGGAGCAAGTGTTGCTCTATGTCATCAGACCGATTTAAAGTTTCCCCTCTCTCGTTCTTCAGCTGAGTTATCGTCGTACGTTTCCTCCGTCTTTCACCAAGTTGGAAACTAGAGAGTGCCTCTCCTGCAATATAGGTTTCGTTGATGTGCATAAACATTTTGGTGAAATTTCGTTGCAGCGTCAGCATTTGTCCCTTGATTTGGTTGATAGTCGCCAACATTGTAGAATCCGTGTAGTACCTGTCGTATGCTTGTTGTAATTTCCCGTAGAGTCGTTGATGTTCTCTGTGAAAATCATCATGAGCTATTTTGGATTTCCACCGATAGAATGATTTTATTTTAGGTTTCGCATATGACAACCACCATGCCATCCATGATGGGTAGACTCGGCGTTGACGAGTCCAGTACTGCCAGCGATACTGGAATTCTTCGATGTTTTCCATTGTTAGCAGATGCGGACGTAGGCACCAGAATCCACGACCGCGTTCTCTGCCAAGGTGGGGAAGGCAGATCCGTGCTGTGACTGCTTTATGATCCGAGAAAGAGCACACGTGAGTGCCGGCGGTACGTAGATGATCGCAGAGTCCAGCACTGACGTAGATGCGATCCAACCGGGAAGTCGAATTTGCTGTAATAAACGTGTGGCCAGGTACGCCGGGACACAATTTTTCCCACACATCCCGCAGCTGCAGCTGTTGCACTGTTGATTTTAGGGCCGTGCTACCATTAAAACTCGTGGCATCGCATTGACGCAGTACACAGTTAAAGTCTCCTGCAAGAATCACATTCGGAGTGTTGTGGCGGAGGTAATAAGCGACGGTATTATTGAGGAAACGTTCTCTCTCAGCCCTGTATTGTGTCCCGCTTGGTGCGTAGATGCTAGCAATTGTGGTGTTGTTGATGCGGAGAGTTACCAGTCGACCGTCCAGGCTCTTCTCTACATGGGAGAAGTGGATGTACTCTTTCAGAGCGATTGCTGTTCCTCGTTTTGCTTGATCGACATTACAGATAACGTTGTACCCAGGGAGCAAAAGTTGGTTATTCTCCACCTCTTGGAGAAAAACGATATCAATATCTAGAGTGCGGAGGAAAGTCCGGAGGGCGTCAAGTTTGGTCTCGTTGGAGATTGTGTTAATATTTATTGTAGCGATATTGTAGCTGACGTGCTCCATTGTTTACAAATGAGGGTTTTCATCTAACGTAACAACGTCACTGTCATGACGCAGTTTTTTGGCCAGAGGACGTTTGGATCTCCTACTGTTGTTTGATGAGGTAGACTCGTCGGTTTCGTTTCCATCGTTGCGTGAATTCTCTCCCGCTTTCGCTTGACTCGATTGTGTTGTCTCAGATCGTGGAGCTTGCTGTGGCTTTTTGAAGTATACCTTATCACAATTTGTCGGCTGGATGTTTGGAGGGGCTGGCATTTCAGCAATCGGTTGCTCAGTTCGTTTTAGTGGTATTGTTACACTGGACATTATTTTTTTAGGCGGTTGTTCGCTTGGCGCTCTCGATCTGGTCCCAAAGGACGTTGAACTTCCCGGTTTTGATTGTACGGGGTTATTCAACTTTGCAGCAGCCGCTTGTTTGGCAACGTTTGCATATGACGGCTTTGTCTGATCAGCGGCCAGTTTCTGGATAAGAAGTTTTTTATTTTGGATACAGGAGATCCCGATATGGATGAGCTCATTGCAGTGACGGCATGTTTGTTGTTGGCCAGTGTATGAAACGGCTGTTGATTCTCCGTCGATGGTGACGTCAGAGGGGATATTCTTCTTCACCACCATGCGTGCAATACGGA